GGGTTTTTCCATGTTTGAATGATTCACACATGTCCATGGGTGGGCATATGCAGCCGGTGCATGGTGGGCCAATTGTGTCATTGTTTGTCTGTGTCATGATAGTTCTCAATTGAGTGGCGGTGGCCAGCCTAAGGGCCGGCGCACAACAGTGCTCGCCACCTCATGGCTCCCTGTGTGCCAGGGGCCCTCCCTCCAGGGGCCTACAAGGCAGGAAGCTAGCCAGCCGGAAGACCGGCGCTCCCCGCCCATGGCTCCCTGTCTGTTAGTTTTTAAAGATGAATTTTTCAGGTTAGGATTCTAAATTGACAATAATTTTCTTTTTTTTTTTGTTTGTTTTTTTCTGGTACTGGGAATTGAACTCACGACCTTGGGCTTGCCAGGCAGGCGCTGTGCCACTGAGCTAAATTCCCAGCACCGACAATAATTTTCTTTTAGGGATTGAAAAACTTTGCTGCACATTTTCTTGGCCTTTAAAGTTTGTGCTGAGAGCTTTGTTGTAATTTTAATAGGCTTGCCTTTATAAGTCATTTGTTGCTTTTTCTTAACAACTTTCAGTACTCTCTCCTTTTGTTGAATTTCTGGGATTTTGATTATATTGTGTTGTGGAGATTTTCTTTTCTGACTGTGGCTATTTGGGGTTCTGTATGCCTCCTCTACTTTAATATTGAATTCTTTCTCTAGATTCAGATAATTTTGTGCTATGATTTCAATGAATATATTTTTTATACCTTTTGAATCTTCTCTTTTTTTTTTTTACCGGTACCAGGAATTGAACTCACGACCTCACACTTGCAAGGCAGGCGCTGTGCCACTGAGCTAAATCCCCAGCCCCCTTTTGAGTCTTCTCATTTTTCCTTTATTCCTGTAATTCTAATGTTTTATTTTTGCGTTATGTGGTAGCTGTTGGGTGCAGCTTACATAGTTTCTTGCCTTTTTAGGATATCACGGAGTTTATAATCTACTACATCCACTTTGTCTTCAATTTCTGAACTCTGTCCTCATACTGGTCAAATCTGCCAGCCATACTTTCTATTGTATTTTTCATATCTTATATTTTGCTTTATTTTTATAATTCCTAATTCTTTACCAAACTGGTCATCCATATATTGTATTGTCTTGTGTAACTCAATTAGTTTATTGTTTGTTTCTTCTCTAGGGTCTTTGAACATTAGTGTAAAGCCCTTTATCTGTTTAATAAAATCTTCTTTAAGGTCTCTGAAAATCTTATGGAATTGCTTGTGTGTTTCTTCTTTGAGCTCTTCAAACATTCTATGGTTTCTGTGCTGCAAGTTGAAGATCAGTTAAGGCAGAGACTGTCCCTACCGTGGAGATCTCTAGCTAAGTTCGGTCTCCCTGTGATGTGTCCTTGGGCTCTGTTACGTTTTGGTGTTTCTACCCCTGTCCAACACACTGTGTAATATTTGAGGGTATTCTTAGTGTCTAGCCACCTTCTGGGAACTTGATCACCAGTACCACATAGAGAAGAGAAAGCAAACCACAGTAGTGCTGATGACACAAAGACAGACAAGATACTAGCATACAGTAAAAACCAGTTAACAGCAACAACTATGCCACCATTTGCAGCAGTAATGAGCAATAATGATACAGTCAGAGACAAATCAGATAGCTGCATAACACAAGGACCAATAAAAGCTACTTTAATGCCACCATTGTCAATAGAAAAGAGATCTATAATAATAATAGAGACCAAAAGACAAACCAAGTATTGATATACAGTAAATATGTACTAAAGGTAATAACTATCCTACCATTAACGTAGGGAAGAGTTCAGCATTTAGCAACTAAATATCTAAAATGAACACTGCTTAATTATAATAATAAAAATTCAGGGGGTGGAGAAAGAGAAGAATAAAAGAAGTAAAATTTGAAAATAATAGGAAGGTGAGAAAGGAGAGAAAAGTGAGATAAAGAATTCAAATGAAGAATAAAACAGAGTAGTATTAGGTAAAAGTAACAGAAAATTAAGGAAAAGAATAAAAGAAAGAGAAGAAAGAAAAAATAACACCCCCAAAAAATAAAGACAAATGAGCCCCAAAACATCCTGAGCTCTGTGCTGGAAGGAGGCAGTGAGGTGGAGTAGGAGGGGTGCAGCAGCCCGCTGGGTGTAAGGCCGGCACTCTCAGGCCCAGCTCCTATGAAAGCAGTGCTCAGCCAGCCTGGCTTCTTACTGTGGAGGCCAGGGCCACCATGTCCTTCCGGGCCTGAGCTCGCCCCTGCTTGAACTTCTCAGGCAATGGTCTCTTGTGACCCTCTCCCAGCTAGTCATTGTGGTAGGTGACCCCAGAGACCCTGAAACATATAGTTGTTCTGTGGCTTCTGATTCCCAGAGCAGCTCAGTCTTGAACAACTAGCACCTCCCGCAAATGGCTCACAGACGTGGTGAGGCTGCACTGCCCTTCCTTCCTAACACTAGCCCGCCATGTGGAAGGAGTCACTCTCAGAGCTAACCTGCATGCTGTATTTGTAGTTTACAACTCCACAAGCTTCTTAGGGCGAGCACTGTTGGCCCTGTCCACGTCTCCCCCAGGGGCTGCTGCCCCTCTCCAGGTCACCTTGTGTCTGCAGTCAGGTCCCCTCCAGGGAGCGGCGGCCAGTGCTTCTTTTTTCCCGGGTTGTCCTCAGTTTCTCTGATTTCATTGTTCCTATGGGCTCTCTCCTGATTCTGAGCTCTTTTCTTGCTGAGTCATTGTCGTTCCGGGTGTCTGGATCCAGGTCCTGGAGAGGCTGTGATAGGCTGCTGCTCCTCGGCTGCCGTCTTCTCTTGCCCCTACAATGGCATGGTCAGTTCTGTGACAGGGGCGTACCTGTCCATAGTGCATGCTCAGCCCTCAGGAACTCATGTGTGGAATAAATGATCACATGAACCAACGAACCCGTTAGGTTGCAAATCTCTCTGCCTACCTGTCCTGTCTCCCCGGAAGTAGCAATGTGCGAGCCATGTGGGTTCGTGGGAATGACTTTATTTGTACTTCACAAGAAATGTTCTTTACAAATGAGACCCTCGACTGGTAATTCTTGGAAGATAGCATGGGAGAGAAGCCCACGGATGACGGGTTCATGTAGAGGGGAGATTCACCTGTGAGGTGAGGGGTCAGGTACTGGAAAGGAGGGGAGGGCCCCTGGGCACGTGAGCCTCCATGCACACCTGTGTTTTCATGGAGGCGCACCCTTTTGCGATTCCTTGATTTCTGCTGCAGAAAGAGCACACCAAGGACCCAAGGACGAGCCTTCCCTCCAATATGCCTTCCCACAGGTCCCTGTCATCCAACCAAGGTGGCCTCAGCAGCCACTCTGGCCACTCCCACCTGTTGGACAGGCAGGTCGCCCGAAACTTGCACGAAGGCATCAGGCACCGCATCCTCTACCTGTCTGAGCAGCTGAAAGTGAAGAGAACCAGTCCGGACGAGAACACGATGAGCTACCTCAAGCTGGTGGCCAGCACCGAGCGTCACCAGGCCACACACGTCCGGTGGGCCTTTGAGAGGGTGAACCAGAGCACCTCAGCTACCATCTCGCACATTGAGTGCAGGCTCCATCAGTGCTGCCAGCAGCTCCTGGAGCTAGAGGGACAAAGGCCCACTGGCCCAGCACTCAAGGCAGAAGGCGGCCTGGACAATGGTGACCAGCCCAGTGGGCCTGGAGCTGCTGGAGCCAGCGCACCCGAGCCTTACCTCTGCAGCCGGCGGCAGCAGAGAGAGCTTCTGCTGCAGAGGGTAGAGGAGGAGCTGGCGGGGGTCAGGAGCTCATGCTCAGGTCTGCAGGGGGCCTACCAGAGCCTCCAGGACAGGTATCTGACAGACCTGCCTGTGTCGCTGGAGTCCCTTCCGGAGCAGAGGTACAGGTGAGCTGAGCCCCTTCCCTCCTGTGCCCCTGGGGACCTGCCTGTAGCGTGTGTGTGTGTGTGTGTGTGTGTGTGTGTGTGTGTGTGTCTAGGTAGCCTGGCGCGGGGGCCGGAGCTGGAGATGTGGCCTTGCAGAGTTGGGGAAGGGCAGGAGGGAAGAGTGCTCCGTGTTGCTCTTGGTGGCTGGGCCCTGCCTGCGGCCCCAGACCTGCCTCATCCTTCACTGGCCAGACGGTTTCAGCAGCACAGTGGACAGAGAGTCAGCTGGCACCGACAGGGATGGCAGGGGGCAGTGAGGTTGGAGCATGTGTATCGGGGAGACGTGGTGAGGAGGTGAGAAGGAAATGCAGAAGCCAAGAGATAGATACTGCCCAGGGCCCTGGGACGTGATGGCGTGGAGGCAGTGTGGAGGTGGCCAGGACTCACCCATGTGGGGGACCCGTGAGCTTGTGCCTCTTGTAACGCCCATGGCTCCAGCTTTAGGCATTCTTCAAGGGCTTGAGGGTTGGCCTGTCAGACAGAGATGTACAGAAAGGGTGGGTCTTATTTACAGGACGGCGGCATTGACCTTTGGGGCTTAGCACAGGCTGTGTTGGGTTTCACGGCAGTGACAGGAGAACAAATCAGCTGTGTTGTAAAGAGCCTTCTAGGGAAGGAAAGTTCTAGGCTGAAGGTGCCAGGTGTGGGTGGGTTTCACCTAACTTATGGCAGGGTTTAGAGTGGATGCCTAGGCACCAACTGTATTAGGCAAATTTACGCAAGCACTTTTTTAAAAGTTCAGATCGAATTTGTATAATGGGATATGAAGCATTTTAAAGCGTATAGTAAAATCCAGCGGCATCGAGTACATCGTAGTGCTGTGTGACTGTCACCTCCATCTAGTTGTCGACCGTATCCATCACCCAAGGAGAACTCACATTCTTCATGTGGCTCCCATTCCCTCCTGTCCTCAGCACTAGGCAGCCGCTGCCATTTTCTCTCTCTGTGGATTCAGTTCTCGGGGACATTTCACAGGCCTGTGACCTCGCAGGATGTGCCTTTTGTGTCTCCCTGGCACGTCCAAGGTTGTGGTGCACCAGGGCTTCCTCCTTTCTGTAGCTGAGTACTCCCACATTTTCTCTGGCCCGCGTTGACAGACGTTTGGGCTGTGTATTAGCAACCTTCCCGTCTCTGGGACAAAGTACTCACCCACAACTTCCAGGAGGAAAGGTTGGTTTGAGCTCACAGTTTTTGGAGGGTTCAGTCCAAAGTCGGGGAATGAGGCTGGGTCCAAGGCAGGGAGGGTGTGGTGTAGGGGAGCACTGGCTCTGCAGCCACGAGGTTGGACGAGAAGGGAGGCACCAAGGCTGAGAGCACACCCTGGGCCTAGTGCCCTGTCTCTTGTCACCTGGGCCCCTCCCCTCCGAAACTGGAACGGGTTGTTTGCACCTTTTGCTGCCTGAGAAACTCTGCTGTGAACGCTGGCTGGCTCACTAGTGTGCAGGCATGGGCTCCTTGGGGTCCCCTCCTGGGGGTGGGGTTGCCGTGGCCTGTGGTGGCTCTCGGTCTACGGTTCAGAGGGACTGCCAGGTTGGCTCCCACGGGCTGCGCTGGTTTCCTTGCCACCAGATGGACACTAGGCTTTCCCACTGCCCTGCCCTTCTTTTTTCTTTTTAAAATTGAGACAGGGTCCCAGCTGCTCAGGCTGGGCTTGAAGTTGCAGTCCTCCTGCCTTCTGACTGAGCAGGAAAGAGGGGAACTTGAACTCCAACAGTCTAAGCAGGTTTATTGCTAAAATCTGAGAGGGACCTTGCAAGCTAAGAGGCTTTTTTAAAAAGTACTTCTTGGCCGGCTTTTGAGGGAGTGGGTCAGAGAAAAGGTGGGCCAATGTGTCCTGTATAATCTGCTAAACATGTCCTCTGTGATCTACGGACGTATCCTTGGGGACTGCTTGTGGCCTGCTGCGTGTCCTCTATGTTTCTCTGACATGGCGCATGGGCTCATTCAAATTGGCAGTGTCCTTGTCTGTGCTCTACTCTGTCACCGACTCCTTACTGCTCGCTCTCTCTGTCTCTCTGTCTCTGTCTCTTTCTCTCTCTCTCTCTAATGGGAGAGGGTATGAAAAGGTATCTCATTGTGAGGGCTTTTGTTTTTATTTTTCCTTAGTCTTTTCATGGGAAAGCATTCTTACTTTTCAAGCAAGTATGTGTCTTCATTGGGGAATTGATGCTGTTCACATTAAGAGTTATTACTGAAAGGTATTGGCTTATTCTTGTCACTGTATGATTTTCCTGTTGCTGATTTTATATTGTCCCTTCATTCTATTTGACTTACTGGCATTGTTAGCTTCAGTGCTTCTTTCTAGGATAGATATCCTTGAGAATTTTTTGTAATACTAGTTTGGTGGTCATGACTTTCTTGAGGCTCTCTTTGTTTGAGGAAAGTTTTGAAAGATGTATAAGTTAAGGTTGGAAGTTATCTTCTAGGGGTTGAAACACTTTACTCCAAGCCCTCCTGGCCTTTAAGGTTTGTGTCGAGAGGCTGCTGTGGGGCTGGGGATATAGCTCAGTGGCACAGCGCCTGCCATGCAAGCGTGAGGTCGTGGGTTCGATTCCTGGTTCAAAAAAAAAAAAAAAGAGAGGCTGCTGTGATTCTCATGGGTTTACCTTTGTGAGGTAAACAAAACCCATTTTGCTGTTCTGTAGCACCATTTAGGATTCTGTCCCTGTGAGGGACTTCTGAGCTTCTGACTGTGATGTGCTGTGGAGAGTCAGGCTGGGGAAAGTCTGGACCCCGTCATTCCCTTCTCTGCGCTGTGGTCCGTCTCTTCAGCTTCTCTGTAGCTTTTAATTTTCTCGTCAGTTCCTTCCTGATTTCCTTACTTCTTTTTGTCTTCCCCAAGTTGTTATTTTCCGAATCTCATAGAGACTGTATTGCTGCCACTCACCGCCCTGCCGTTTTACATTTTACTCTTTCATCCTATCTTTAAACCTACAACAAGGCAGACAGTTTCCTAATCGACAGTTTTGCCTCAAAAATGATTAGGTGAATGGATGAGCAGTACTAAAAGACACATTTATCTAACATTTACTAAAGTTCTCCTTTCTGCAGGCCTTTGACCACTGACCCACTCTCAGAGCAAGCCAACACGCAGTCCTTCCTTTGGGTTTGCTTTGGTTTGGTTTGGTTTGGTCTTTAGAGACTGAGTCTTGCTATGTATTCCAGGCTGCCCTTGAAATCACGAAGTCACTATGCATTATGTAGCCCAGGCTGGCCTTGAACTCATGGCAAGCCTCCCGCCTCAGCCCCATGCCCAACTGAAATAAGCGTTTTGAAAGCTCCCCTTCAGGCTTTCCTCAGTTTGGCTGAAAAGGCTGCTCCCACCCTTCCTGTTCCCCCTTTGAACAGAACCTGCCTTATTTTCTTCTGGTCCCTTTTTGTACCGTTTCTCTTAGGTGGGCAGCAGCTTTGCTGTCGTGGCCACGGATGTGATTTTCTCTGCTCTCATCCTGGTCTTACTTTGTTTCTTCAGTTCATATGTCTCCTTCAACTTTGGGCGTCCTTGCCTATTCGTTTTTCACATCTTGCTTCGGTCTGCTCCCTCATTCCTCCCCTTTCCGGCGCAGGTTCGCCTGGGCCTGGGCCCTGCCTCTGCTAAGTCCCATCTCAGTTCCCAAGTGCCTCTCTCTCTGTTCCACTGTATTTTCTTCTGAATGCTCCCCCAGGTCACTAAAACTCCCTTAGCCTGGGGCTACTTTGTTCTTAACCTACCCATTGTCTCTCAATTCCAGTTAAGGTACTTTCCAGTTCCCCAGTTGTTTCTTTTGAGAATTCCTAGCTTTTTACCAAAATCTCCCCCACTTTTTTCTCCTTTCTTTCTCTGCGGTGCTGGGGCTCAGACCCAGGGCCTGGTGTGTGCCAAGCAAGCCCTGTAGCGCTGAGTGACCTGTCAGCCCGCTGCCGGTATTCTTCATGCCTTCCGCCTTAACAAGTACAGACCAAGAGGGAAACCACCCCACCCTCTCTGCAGCTGCAGCCTCCATAGTCTGCTCCCCAACCTGCCCTACCCCTGCGCTCCTGAGTTAGAGACCCGCCGGCACCGCCGTCTTCCACAGAGCCAGTCCCCTCTGAAGCATGCTGCTTTTGCTTAGCTTCTACCATATCACCAACCTCTGGGTTTATTCTCAGTCCTTTTTTTTCTCCCTTGGTACTGGGGATTGCATTTGGGGCCTTCACACTGAGTCTCACTGAGTCATAAGTTGCCCAGGCTGGGCTTGAACTTGAGATCCTTGTGCCTCAGCCTCCCAGAGCTGGGACTGCAGATGTGCACCACAAAGCGTGACTATTCTGTCCCTGTTGCTAGCCTCTCCTCCTCCTCGTCTGTCTGATCTTTACAATGCGGGCTTGTGTCAGGTGGCTGGTTCAGCCACTGAATCTTTCTTAGAATGATTAGACAGGTTAGAGGTGTTATGGTTTAGATCTAAGATATCCGTCCCGAGGTCCTGAGGTCTCATGTATTTGGAGGAGGGTCCTGGTTGAAGGAGGAGAGTCATGAGGTGTGACCTGGAAGGATATATTCTTGTCCCTAGCCCTCCCTGCTCTCTCTGCTTCCTAGCTGCCATGGGGTGAGCAGCTGTCCTCCACTAGGCCCTTCTACCATGCAGTTTCTGCCCTGGAGCCGGCTAACCATGGACCGAATCTCCCCAAATCATGAGTCAAAAGGAATTTCTTTAAACTGTGGGTTCTGGGTATTTTGTCCCAGTGACTGGAAAGTGACTGAGACCCTGGGGTTCCTGATTTCATAAGGGAAGCACAGCAGGCAGCCGCCAGTGGTGAGAACCTTTGCGACTGCCATGAAGGGGGTGGGGGCTCCCAAATGGTGGTGCCGGGCCGCGGCCGAGCGCCATGCACCCTCTGAATGGGCTGCGTGAGGTCCGTGGTCCAACCAGGAGAGACTTTCCAGAGCCAGGTGGGCCTGAGGGTGAGGGCGCTGCTCAGCGCTGCGGGCTCTCCGGTCTGTCACCTTGGCTTTCACTGCATGCCCCTCAGCTGCTCTCTGCGTGGCTCCCTACCCTTGTCTCCACCACCCTCCAGGCCACCTTCCTCTTCTACCCTCCCGCGCTCCTCTCTCACCTGAGTGCTCTTTAGTCTTCGTTAATGCGATCAGAGCTTTGGCAGGGCCCTTTAGTAGCAACGGCTGTGTTGCGAGCAAGGATTTCCATGTTCTGGGCAGCACGCCAGGGCCATCCGCATACTATCTGATATGACGGCTGAAGCACAGCTGGCAGAGTGGTGGGGTCAGGTGTTATCCTCAGCCTCTGCTAGGTACAGGTGGTCTTTAGGGCTCGTCCAGGCAAGTGCCAAGGAGGAGACATCCATCCACAGCGACTCTACCGCAGGGTCTGCTTGGAACCACTTCGCTGTAACCTGCCAGTCTCCTCTTGGCATCTTAGCCCTGCCTGGACCTGTGGCCCTTCCCTCTGGCCCCCTCATGTTGTGGGGAAAGGCTGTTTCCTGCCAGGCCTGGCCAGCTGCCCTCAGAAATTCCCTGTCCCCGATCGCAGCAGTGGCTCCTGCCCTCCACTCCTGCCAGTCTCCTTGGGGCTTCAGGCGTCCCGTGTCTACTTCCTCTGCTTGTTGGCCCCCTGCTGTGTTGGAGTCTCCCCTTCAGTGAGTAAGCACAGTTCCTCCCTTTGCGGTCAGACCTCAGAAGGGCTGGGCAGGCCCACATCTGCACGCCCCGCCTCCCGTTCCACCTCTGCCCCGCGCCCACGGGGTCGCTTGCTCAGCTCGTGCATGGCGGCCGAAACAGCCAGTGCACACTCTGCCTCCCGCGGCTGCAGGACTGCCCAAGTGTGTTGGAAGCTGTCCCCATACTGCCCTCAGCACACGCATGCTAGCATGTGCTCCCACGGGATCCCTCTCTTGGGGGCCTCCTGCCTTTGGCTGTCCCCCTCCTGCCCTCAGGGTGACGTGGCCCCTAGCATACCTGGGGTGGTCAATCCCTGTGTTAGACTCCATTCCAGGTGCAGGCCTGCAGGTCCAGCTGATCTTGTCCAGAGCCATTTCTCAGGAATGACCGAGAATATGCTCTGGAAAGAAGTGGTGTGCGTGAGAGAAAGGGCGGTCTTGATAGTGACATCATGTCTTGGCAGTGCTGTGGCTGCCTGGTCACTGTGGTGTGTGCAGAAGAGCATGTTCGGGGCTGGCCAGCTCCCCTTGGGACTGCAGGAACTGGACTGCAGGCCCTAGAACAGGAGCACACGAGGAGGGTGAGCACACGAGGGGCAGGCTGCTGCTGGAGGAAGGGAGACTGGGCTAGGGCAAGAGACAGCGAGGCCAGGAGCGTGCCCTGAGGAGATGCGGTGTGTTACCCAGCAGAGGGAAGGGTGGAGGAGGGCAGGCTAGAGAGATACCTTTAGGAGAAACCGTGTGCTAGGCAGGACAAGGAGGGTTGGAGGGAGGAAATGACAGCTGAGATGAACTGAGATGTGTTTTGTACAGGTACTGACGCCCCACCTTGAATGTCATCATCATGTACTGCAAACATGAGCTGTTGAAAATTAAGAAGACTAAAGTGGTTACTAATACCTTGTCTTATTCAAGCATTTATTCCTGCATTCTCATAGAGCGCATGATGATGCAGCTGTTAATTGATCTCATGCTCATGCTGGTGAGATTCATAAATATATGCTTCATCATAATTCATATCCTGAATCCCTGTGGCCATCCATATCTCTCCTGTGAAGGGAAAAATGGCACTGAGAAATCTATTTTGGGCCGGGCACCGTGCCAACGAACCCCTCTGATGCGCAGCCTTAGCTAGTCAGCTGTCCGTTGTGGTGTGAGTATCCTCAGGACCATCCACTCAGAGGGAGCAAGTTTGCTTGTGGCCCCAGGTTCAGAGGCTTTGCTTTGACTGTGGGCTCCACGGCCTTTGGGCTCGTGGCAAAAGGGCCTGGCAGAGGAGAGCTGCTAACCAAGAGGGTCGCCAAGAGGGGACAAAATACTACATGGAAATCACCCGGGGTCACCTACTTCTTCCCAGTAGGCTCCCCGCCCCCCTTCCCGGGAGCCCACTAAGTCCCTACCTCATGCATAGAAGATGCCCTGATGAGCTCAGGGGCCTCAGGATTCCAGCACCTCCCACCGCCCCGCTCTGAGCACTGCTGCTTCAAGGACCAGTCCTGCCGCACGTGAGCGTTTAGGAACCTTTCAGATCCAAGGCACGGTGCCCATCTTTTGACAGGCTGCCTTGCAGCACGAGAGCTGGGCTTCCCCTTGTGGGAGTTTGGCAGGTGCTTGGGGCGGGTCGGAGTCCTTGCTTGCCCATCTCTTTGCACACCACTGTTTGTGCATGTGTGAAAGCTTGGGGTCGATCTCTAGAGCCTCAGAAGAAACAAAGAAATGAAAGCAAACTTTCAAAGACTCAGTCGGGGCTCTGGTAGCCCCCCAACCCTCATCCATCAGCCTCACTGGCCTCATTTGCTTGTTTGTTTGTTTGTTTGTTTGTTGAGACAGGGTCTCCCTATGTAGTTCAGGCTGGCCTAGAATTTGGCACAATCCTCCTGCCTCAGCCTCCTAAGTGCTGGGATTACAGGCGTGTGCTGCCATGTCTGGCTTCATTTGCTTATCTTTTCCATGCATGTTTTCATACTTTGAATACTCGTGTGTTTATAGACATAACAGGTGGTGTTTTAGTTGTGTTTTTTTTAACATCTCTATTGAGATACAATTTGCATGTCATAAAATACACCATGTTAACTGCATTTCAGTGGTTTTTATTAAACATACCGAGTTATGCAATCATTACTACAACACAGGTTTTTGTTTTGTTTAAATAACAGCTGTATTGAGATAGAATTCATGCCCTATCAATGTCATCCATTTGAAGGTACAATCCAGTGGGTTTTAGTAGATTTCCAGAGTTGTTCAGCCATTTCTGCTGTCTCATCACACCCCAAAGAACCCGAAGAGCAATAGCAGTTACTCCTGTCCTGCCCTGCCCCAGCCGCGTGCCTCGCATCTGTCTGGACATCGCATGCCAGTGGCATCACGCACTGTGTTGTCTTCCATGGAAGAAATGCCAGGCCCAGGAGTTCTGCATTGTGGATAGCACCTGCGGTATGGAAGTTAAGCTCTGCAGCATGGCTATTAGAGAGACCCTAGATGGAAGACAGAGCTGACAGTGTGCTTGTGACTGACGTGCAACTGGGATGTCCTGGTGGCCCCACAGCAGGTGGCCTCTTGAATGGGGCCCAACTGAGAACGTGGGCAGGGAGGCAGGGTACCTGCGAACCCAGGAGCAGCCTGAGGTCCTGAGCATGCTCTTGTCTCTCTTGCTCCTGAGACATGTACTGGTGGAGGAACAGGTGGATGGCCACCTGCAAAGGCATTGGGATGAGATTTACCGCTTCCAACAGGGTCTGGCCTGCACGCAAGAGAAGATGGCCTACCTGTCCTATGAGCGGGCCAAGGAAACATGGGTGAGAGGTCCCTTCCCTGCCACCCCCAAGGCTGGACCTTTGCTGTCACGGGGTCCCCTCTCTGTGCCCAGGCCAATGTGTGCTAGCTTGGCTGCTGTGGGAGGGCGGAGCCCGTGGTCTGAAGAGCTGGGGTGGGAACTGTCACTCCCCAAGGGTCTCCAAGAACCCCTGCCTCATCCTGGCCTCCTGCTCCACACCCTCTTTGAACCCATGCCCCTTCTTCCTCCTGCCCTTGGCCAGACCCCTCCCAGCTAGGTGCTCAGTCCCTACAGTACTTGGCAGGGTGTGTGTGTGTGTGTGTGTGTGTGTGTGTTTGCCATCTACGGGAGGTCCTAGAGGCTTTCAAGAGCCGGCTGGCCCAGCTGGAGGCCCTGCAGCAAGCCGCCCAGGTGGAGGTGACGCGAGGCTGTGGAGCCAAGCTGGGGAACTTGTACTGCATTTCGTGAGCCTGCTGCTGGTCCTCACCTGTGCCATCCTGGCGTGTGTGGCCACCATATGCTCCTGCCCCCTGCCCCGGGCAAGCAAGCGCCTGCACAGGTGCACCGTGCTCATGCTGCTCACACTTGGGGCTCTGGCCTGGCGGAAGCGACACGCCATTGCCACCGCAGACTGGCAGGTGTGGATCCCTTCCGGGTGGAGGACGGGTGCCAAGAACACCAGGCCTTCATAAGGAGGACCTCACGGGGCTGGGGTGCCACCTGCCCGAGCTTGCCGTCCCCTCCCTCCTCCTGCTGCCTCCTCCTGATTCCCCCGTCGCCAGCGGACACCAGCCTGCCTTGCACTTCCTCCCGTGTTGCCACCCGGAGGCGTGGAACTGAGGGAGATTAAAGTCTGTCCACCCTACTCTCTGCCTCCCTCACCCCTTGAGGCCCTGCACCGCTGGAATGCAGTGGCGCAGGGCCCCGCGCAGCAGCGGCAGCCTGTGACGTGGTTGGTGCTGGCAAAGAGCATTTGCATTTATTTCACAGGGACAGAAAGGAAGGGGGAGAAGTAGCCAGAGCCGTGGCGGGCAGGTGGGAGGCAACGCTCATGCAGGTGACACTGAAGACACAGAGGAGGCTTCTGTTTTGGAGGTGCCAGAGAGTTCGGAGCTGTCCTCAACCTTCTTCCCAAAAAGCTGCAAGATGCAGTTTCGGAACTGGAAGGACAGACAGTGTCGCTTAGCGCACCAGGCAGGTCCAGATGGGGGCGGCGGTGGTGGAAGGCAAGGCTTGGGACATCGCTAAGTATCACCTGGGTAACCTAACCCCTTTCCTCCTCCCACTCCCACGTGGGTCTGTGGGGTGAGGGAGGGTCAGGACGGTCAGTCATTTGCACCACTGAGTTCTGCGGGCCTGCGAGTGCGTCCTCCACGGGAATGCTCTTTGTGGTAAGATGGCGCTGGGAGGCTGAGATGGGAAGATTGCAAGTTCGGGGCCAGTCTGGGCAATTTAGCAAGACCCTGTCTCAAAATAAAGAATAACAGGCTGGGGGTGGAGCTCAGTGGCGCCACGCTGCTGGGTTTGACCCCCAGTGCCACAAAACCTGAGGCCCTGCTGTTCTGGGGAGAGGAGGCTCTGCGTGCCATGACCCAGGCACAGAGGGAAGAAACAGGCACGGAGCACAAGGCTTGCCCCAAGCTCCAGCGTGAGCACAGGCACGGGGCTGGCTCAGGGCCACTGCAACCAAGCCTGGCCTGCAGGATTGGGAGGGACTTGATCTCTGTCGTCTCGGCCTCCCAGTTTGCAGCAGTTTGCCAGGTGGCTCCCAGACCAGCCACACAGCGTGCAAATGTGGCGCCGAATGTCTACCTAGAGGCTCAAAGGCGTCTGAACCCGTCTGTTTGCGCTGGTGGTCCTGGGGGTTTGAGCCCAGGGCTCCCTCGTGCAAGGCAAGGGCTCTACCACTGAACTCCACCCCCAGCCCTCTTAGAACTCTGAGACAGGGTGATCGCCGTGGTGACCGCCATGCTCCTGCCTCAGGCTCCCGAGTAGCTGGCTATAGGCACGCACACCATACCCAGCACTTGGAGACATTTTAGGGAACAAGGGTATGGCTGGGATCAAGGTAAGGGTCAGGTCGGGAACACTGTGGCCACCTCCCTTTCCTCTTCCTGCACCAGCAAGGTCTGCTGTACTCATGACCCTTGGCGTGACATCTAGGCCTGCTCCTCTCTCAGTCACATCTCTCATCCGCACCACACCAGCCACAGAGCTTCGAACCCGCGGCAGAACAGTGCCTTCACATTTCAGCCCATTTCTGGCAGCCTTCAGCTCCTCGCATCCCCCAGACGCTCCATAGGGAAGGGCGCCAGAGCTGGGGTCAACGGGGAATGCACTGCTAACTAGCAGCACGATGCAGCTGCAGGGCTGGCAGAGACGGCTGAGGAATTCGGTCCACGAATTCAGCCAGCATCGCCCTCCCCGAGCACCCGCACTGTGCCAGCCTCTGCATTTTCGGCTGCTGCAGCCATGAACAGCAAGAAAAAATTCCCTGTCCTCACAGAAGCCCATACCAGGAACTTCCCTCCGCACGTGGCAAGATGGAGTAACACGGGAGCGGCAGAGGCCCTTGGGAAGCCGGCTGAGCCCAGCGGTGCAGACATTGTCCCGGAGGGGCTTTCAGAAGGGGGAGGGAAAGAACGGGGAGGTGCTGCGACCAGGGGAGCTCGGGATCCCTGAGATACAGCCAGCCCTAAGGCCCTCGTGAGGACAGCAGTTGGGCAGGGCTGGGGCAAGTGGTGCTCAGAAGTGGTCAGGAAGAGCGCCTGCTCTCGGTGAACTCGGCAGGGTGGAGCCATGGGGCAGCTGTGAAGTGGGAGAGGAGGCTGGGGTGCAGCTCAGAGGTGTAGCACTTGCCTAGTATGCTCCAGGCTAGGTTTCAGCCCCAGCACAAAAGCAAACAAAAAAGGAAAGGTTGGGTGTAGGGGCGCACGCCTGTCATCCCAGCACTCAGGAGGCTGAGCAGGCGGATCACTGCGAGTTTGACGCCAGCCTGGGCTATGTAGTGAGTTCAAGGCCAGTGTGGACTACAAGAAGATCCTAACTCACGCACGCAAAAAGGAAACACTTCCCAACCACCCAGGAGGGTCTGGGACCCATGGGCTGCTCGCTGCTGCAGCCCAGCCCTCGGGCTCAGGGTGGCTGCTGTCGGGGAAGACCGCAGCATGTCAGCCCCAACTAACCCACGAGTCCGTGCAGGCTTTCCAGCTGCAGGTCGGGGCAGCCCAGAGGGCCTGCCTGTGCTTCCAGGAGGACAAGTGCGGAGAAAATGGGTTTCTGTAAGCACTAGGGGCAACCTAGGGCAGAGCACTCGTATCTGGGGACCCTCACAGGCTGGAGAAGGAAGAGCTGGCAGCAGGACACTCCAGAAGCAGCTGCGCCTGCGGCTGCCCCTTCCCCTGGGTGTGCTCCGAGAGCGCTGCACTCCGTTCCTCGGGATTCTGAGTTTGCTTACCTGCCGGTTCATGAAGACGTAGATGACAGGGTTGTAGATGGTGGCACTTTTGGCAAAGTAGGACGGCAGGGCAGCCACCAGAGGGTGGAACGCGTAGCCAGGATGGGCAGTGGCAAAGCACGCAAAGAAGGTGTAGGGTCCCCAGCAGAGGCAGTAGGCTAGGACCATGACCACCACCATGCGGGTGACCTCTTTCTCGGCCTTCTGGGTGGACTCGGACTCTTTCTGCTGCTTCGCCACCTGTGGGAGCCAGGCCACTAAGTGGGGACACACCTAGGGCTCTGCTTCTTGAGCCTCGAGTTGCGGTGGCACAAGGAGGGTGACCCGGACAGGGGACGGCCAGCTTCCTCCCATGGTCAGAGCGGAGCCCACCAGGAGGGCCTCAAAGCCAGACCTGAGATGTCCCTTGCCACCTCTGGCCCTTGCTCTTAGCAGGCTGCTGGGGTGTTGCTGCACAGTGCGCACACACACACACGCACACACAGCCACAGAACACGAGGACAGGCAGGAGTGCAGACTGGGTGGGAAGCAGGAAGGGGCAGCTCTGGCTAAGGCAGGGCCTGGCAGGGCGCCCAGTGGGATGCCTGGCCTCCAGCTCTGGGGGCAATGGTGGCCGCCTGCGGGCAGGGGCCGGGGCCGCCAGCTGCGTGGTGTGGAGGAGGCCCGTGAGGCCGAATGCCTGAGCACCACTGAGTGGGTCCTGGCTCGTGACCGCCAGCCCCGGCCAGTGCCGGGCTGTGCCCCTGTCAGTGGGGGGGTGGGGGAGGCATGGTGGGGGCGTGGTGACCTCGAGAGTGCTCTCAAGCCCCTGCCAGGCAATTGTGGGCATGGTCCCCGTGGTTAACATTGAGAGCAGCGAGTATCTTGGGGGTTGGCTGGCCCGGGGACACTTAACACCGCTGGAGGAGACGGAGCCTCCTTCTCCCATGAGGCTGGAGGTGGGGGCTGGGGCGAGGGTGCTCCGAGGCACTCGTGTGTGGGAGAGCTGATCTCTGGTCCCTGTGGGGTCCCCCAGCAATCAGGGACAGTCCCCCTACTGTCCCCACTCCTCTGGCTGGATGCTTCTCGCGGTGGGGTAGGGGCAGCTCAGGGGCCTCACCGCCCGGATGGCCAGCCACACATGCAGGTAGCACAGCACGATGATGCTGAGAGGGATGATGCAGCAGGTGACCATGAGCACCATCATGTAGGACTGCACGCCAGGGTACGAGGTGCCGCTGAACACGTCGGGGCCGCAGGATGTCTTCAGGCCGTAGGGCCAATATCTGCGGAGAGTGTGGCCCGCCCGCCGGTGAGGGGCTTGGCTGAGGTGGAGGCCCGCAACCCCGTGGGCTTTGTACGCACGCCGTCACACGCAACCACTGCCTCTGCCTCATTACAAAAGAACCCTTGGGCATAATTTTTGATAAGTGTTTGTTCATTTTTAGGTCTCTGTCTGCCTTTCTCTTTTTCTCCCTCCCAAAATGGAGATGGAACTTCACACTGAGCTGCATCCCCAGTCCTTTTTCAATTGTTCATTTGAGACAGGGTCTCACTAAGTTGTTGAGCTGCTCAGGCTGGGCTCAAACTTGCAATCCTCCTGCCTCGGCCTCCCAGAGTGCTGGGATCACAGGTGCGCGCCACCACGCCTGGCTTTGTATTGGTAAAATACACACAGTGTGCAGTTTAGCACTATGACATTTGGTACTTTTACAGTGTTTGTCACACAGCTATCGCCACTTTCTGCTCCCTGGGTATTTTTAGCACTCAGAGGGAAGGTGAGGCTCCATCTCGTTCGGTCACACTTCCACACCACTGAAACACCAACCCAGCCAGTGACCTGGATTCCAAGCACCATAGGAGGCCAGAAGCCCAACAGCCACACACTACACACGGGGTCACTCGCCAGCACCCTGGCACTCTTACCTGCTCCAGCCGAAGATGGGTGGGGCCGTCCACACCGCAGACCAGACCCAGGAGAACACGATGCCCACTATGGCCAGCTTGGCATCAAACCTCATGTTGCCAAAGGGCTTGCACACCACCAGCCACCTCTCCCAGGAGATGATGGCCAGGGACCAGAGGCCCGTGATGCCTGTGGGGATAGCAGCAGAACCTTGGAGCCTGACCAGAGGGGGAATGGCCTCCGCCACAGCTGGGCGGGCAGCATCCGAGGTGAGCCCCCTCCTAGCAGGTGGCTTTAGTGCGGGCTTGGGGCCTCACCTCTGACCCCCATGGCTCCATCCCTCTCTTCTCCCTCCGTCTCAGGTGCTCTCTGGAGCAGCCGCTCTGAGTTCGGTGCCCGCCGGGCCTGGCAGCCCAGGCTGGGGAGTCTCGCAGAGCAAGGGGATGGGCGGCTCTGCTGACCTGGGCCTCTGGCCCCTTGGGGCACCCTGAGGTTACTTCCTTCC